GGCATGATCATCATCCTGGGCGTACTGCTGGGCTCGGGCTTCACGCCCGACCTGGTGCAGCGGCTGGGCGAATGGGCCGTCAGCCTGTGCGTCCTCACCGGCATGACCATGACCGGCGCCACGCTCTGCTACGCTTGGCTGCGGCGCTTCACCGACTGGGACAAGGTCACCTGCTACTTCGCCGCCATGCCGGGCGGCCTCAACGACATGACGATCATGGGCGGGGCCATGGGCGGCGAGGAGCGCGCCATTGCGCTCGCCCATGCGCTGCGCATCCTGACCGTCGTGCTCACCATCCCGGTCTGGTACCGGCTGGTGAACGGCGCCCAGACCAGCGTGCTCACCATGGTCCACGGCCCGACCGGCAACGACTGGAAGGACTATGCCGTTCTGATCGGCTGCGGCGTGGTCGGCGCCATCGCCGGCCGCCTGCTGCGCCTGCCTGCCAGCTTCATGATGGGACCGATGATCGTGAGCGGCATCGCCCATCTGGCAGGCCTCACCAACTCCCAGCCGCCGGGTTTCCTGGTGGCGGCCGCGCAGGTCGTGGTCGGCACCGGCATCGGCTGCCGCTTCGTCGGCGCCAACTTCGACAAGCTGCACAAGGAGATGGCCGCCTCGATCGGCGCCGCCTTCATCCTGATCGGCTGCGCCGTCGGCTTCGCCGAGATCACCTACGCCCTGACCGGCCTCAACCTCGACGCCACCGTCCTGAGCTACGCGCCCGGCGGTTTCGCCGAGATGAGCCTGATCGGCCTGGCCCTCGGCATCGAGATCGCGATGGTGGCGACCCACCACCTGTTCCGCCTTTTTCTGATCATCTTCACCGGCCCGATCGTGTTTCGGACCCTGCTGAAGCGGGATCATTGAACATCAGAGCGCACCACTGGAGTGGTGCGCGCCAATGAGCCTCACGCCCGCAGCGTGATCCCGCCGTCGACCACCAGCAGGTGGCCGTTCACATAAGCCGACTGGTCCGACGCCAGGAACAGCGCCGCGTTCGCGGTGTCCCAGCCCGTGCCCATCTTGCCGGTCGGCGAAGCGCGGTCGCGGATCGAGATCATCTTCTCGTAGGCCTGGTTATGGTCTTTCTCGCTCTTGGCGTACTGCTCGGCCAGGAAGTCGATCATCGGCGTGTGCATCAGGCCGGGCAGGATCGCGTTGCAGCGGATGCCCTTCTCCGCGTACTGCGAAGCGATCGCCATGGTGAGCGAATTCACCGCCCCCTTGCTGGCATTGTAGGCGAGATACGAGATGCCCTTGGGGCTGCGGATCGAAGCGATCGAACTCACGTTCACGATCGCGCCCTTGCCCTGCTTCTCCATGATCGGCAGCACGTGCTTGGCCGTGAGGAAGAAGCTCTTCACGTTGACGTCGAACACGCGATGCCATTCGTCCTCGCTCAGCTCGACCGGCCCGCCCTGCGAGCCGATGCCGACATTGTTGTCGAGGATGTCGACGCGGCCCCACTTCGCCATGCAGGCGTCGACCATCGCCTTCACGCTGGCATTGTGGGACGCGTTGGCCTCGTGGGCGACGGCAACGCCGGGACCGACTTCCTTCTCGATCAGACCCACCGTCTCCTCGGCCGCGGCCCGCTTCAGGTCGACACAGAACACCTTGGCACCCTCGCGCGCGAAGGTGATCGCCGTGCATTTGCCGTTG